GAGACTGCTCCATTTGTGCTAAACAACTCTTTAAATAGCATGTACAGAGAGCGTTGAAAGCACCGTGCTTGGCAAGAGCTCTGGCAGGCTTCAGGTAGTTCAGCCAGTCTTCCTTGCGATTTCCAGCAGGACCCAGGTTCTTTCCCTTCTCTGCAGGTGGTGAAACGTCTTCCTAAAACCCGATCAGGGAAGATCATGAGAAGGCTGCTGAGGAAAGTAGTCACTGACCAGTCAAGCAACATAGGAGATGTCACCACACTTGATGATCCAAGTGTTATCAAGGAGATACTGGATGCTTACCAGAAATACAAGGAGAAAAACTCCTTGTAACAGGCAGCTCTGGAATCTCTCCTCTGGAAACGTGGAAGGTCTCAGATGACAAAGCAAATGACATAGTTCTCCCTGGTTTTCTATTATTTTTTTATGAACCCCTGTTCCTTCCAGGGGAACAGGATTTTCCACTCCCCAAAAAAATGGATGCTGAGATGCACAGAGCTAGGAGCACTCTGCAGCTGAACTCCCTTTCATTGCTTTTAGGGTTGCCACAGAGCAGCCACTGGTGGTTTCCATAAACTATGAACTGATTTAATACTAGCTGAAGCAAGACGCAGATGTTCATGTTTCTCATTTTAATGTTACTCTACAGGGAAATGTTTTTATACAATACTTTTGCTGGTTTAAAAGAAGCCCTGAAATGCACTTCAGTTTCTCTTTCAGCTGTGATACCTGAGTCCAAGTAGCTGTATCTCACTGCAGCTGTAGTGCCTCTTCAGCAATGCTGGGTATTCCAGTAGATGTTTCACCTGTGCTGTTAGGGAAATGAGAAGGACCTGGCTAGTCTGATAATTCTTGTATTTACCCAGTTGTTCTAATACCTCATTCTGCTTTGCTCATAAGGATTAGTTCCTACCACTCTATGCCTTGGGACTGGCCAGAGATGGTGAACCTGTGTCCTTTCAAGTCCCACCTAGGCAACCCAGCACTAGCACTTCCCGCTGCAAAACTGAGCCACTAATTCTGCTGCTGGACTCCCTGCATGTCCTCAGTGCATTACCAGTTGCACAGGAAGGGTCTAGTTCCACATGGTTTTATTCTGCTTTGAGAAACTGAGATCACTGACTTGGCTTTTAAAGTGACTCTTCCTCATTGGTGGTGACAACTGGATTGATGTTGGCCACTGTGGTTCACTTCTGCATATAAGGATTGGTGGTCTGCAACTGGGAGATCTTTGCTGCCAGTTGGTGCTTTATGTAGGTGCCTTTGTTTCTTTAAGTCACTGTGAAAAGGGACAATGTTTGCTTTGAAGCATTGGGAAACAAGTCCTGAAGTGCTCGAGAGAGATTTGATGCTGCAAGGTGTGCCAGAGAGTTCACTGTGACTTGTCAGGCTGTGTGATTTCTGCTTCAACAAAGACAGGAACCCACTTTGGAGGTAGGCTGGTTCTCCTCTCAGGAGTTAATGCTTATTGTTTCAGTAATCAGCATGCTGCCATGCTGGTCTTCCAAAGAATCAGGTGCCAGGTGGGAAGCCACAAACTGCACAATCCACAAGAAAGAAGTGCCTCTTAGATGCCTTAGAAAGTGATAGCATTCCAGACCAGCAACCTCAGAATAGCAGGGAACAATAACCTTTGCCTTTCATATACTTTCAAAATTGCAACTAATATATTAAGTGGTTTATTTCTGGATTCATTTTATGATGGGCACGTTTTGATTGAAGTACTCCTTGTATTTGGGCTGTTCAGAAGAATTGGCTAGTAGGTCTCCTGTCCTCTAGTAAGCTACTGAAGGTCATGGAGAAGCCTGTAGATGATGGATGTCTTTGAGACTTCTGCCACTGCTTAATTTGATTTAAGCTGGCTGAGGGGTTTGGAGTGGGTAGAGGGGCCATGGAGCATGCCACGCTGTGGCTGGGGTCACTGCAAATTTGCAGTCCTGCCTCTGTCTTTCTCAGGTGACAGTCTGCTTAGTTTCACGGAGCTGTGTTTTGACCTCATAGTAACAGTCAGAATTGTGAGGTTTTGCCCTATTTTTCCAGGGTCAACTTATTGCTGGGTTTAAGTGGAGCAGCACTGCCTTTTCCAGGGGGACTGTGTACTGGAAAGACAATCTGTGCACCTAACTGGAGGCAGGAAGGAAATGGCTAGGTGATCTGGTAGGATGGGGAGAGGGGTGGTGAGGTTTTAGAAGGGGGAAGTCCATCTTTCTAGAGATGAGGGGTGTGTTGCATGGTCTAATGTTAAGCCTTTAATTTGATTAACTTGTAATCATGCTTTAAACACATTTATTGTCCTTGACCAAAACCAGTTTCTTCAATGATCTTTGTATTCATTAAAAGAAATACCTTTCTTTGTGTGATGGGTTGGCTTTGTCTTGTAGGTGTCTGGCCTTCCATGCCTCAAAGGGTCTGGGACTTTCTCAGTTCTTTGGTCTCGCTTCTGCCTAACTATTTTAGTCTGCCAAAGGAGACTGAGGTCAGGATGAGTCATCTTGTGGACCAAACTGTTTTGCTTTGCTCTGAACAGTAGCTCACAGGAAGTGAGTTACTACCAGAAAACTTCCCCTGCGTAACAACTCGAAGTTGAAGTAGTGTTTGCATATCAGTAAGCTGCATGTCTCTGAGGTCCCACTGCTCTACACTAATTTTCCTCTGATGCAAAGGGGAACAATTAGTGGGAACAATTAATTGCCATTAGCCGATACTGTCAGCTGATGAGTCTGATAAGGAACAGCTGAGGGTACTGGGATGGGGGGGAGGTTTAGCCTGGAGAAGAGAATGCTCAGGGGGGGACCTTATTGCTCTGTACAACTGCCTGAAAGGAGGATGGAGCCAGGAGGGGACTGGGCTCTGCTCCCAAGGAACAAGGGATGGGACAAGAGGAAACAGCCTCAAGCTGCACCAGGGGAGGTTTAGGCTGGATACTGGGAACAACTCCTTCCCCAAAGGGCAGTCAGGCATTGGAACAGGCTGCACAGGGCAGTGCTGGAGTCACCGTCCCTGGAAGTGTTCACAAACTGTGTAGACAAGGCCCTCAGTGCCATGGGTTAGTGGTGGCCTTGGCAGTGCTGGGGAACAGCTGGACTGGATGAGCTTCCCAGTCTTTTCCAACCTATAATATGGGTGGTTCAGCTATGTATCTCCTTGTCTTATACAGAGCATGCACAGGTAGAAAAGGAGTGAAAACGGGATGTGTGTGGCGAACGCGAGAGGCAGCATGGTGTAGAAAGTGAGCATCTAGCTGTTCTGTAGCTGAGCAGATGAGAAGAAATTTGTTTCCCGGTGCCATGGATCGCTTGAAGTGCCAGGAACACATCCTCTGCAGCGTGCCTTGTCAATGAAGCAGTGAAGGAGGACTGTGTGCCAAGTGAGCAGCATGGATGGACACTGAACACCCTCATTAGCCATTTATCCTGTTACCTCTGGCTAAAGCTTCTGGAAAGCTTCCAATGCCGCTCCTGGAGAGTATCTGACAAGTCATGGAAAGGCCTGGAGAGAAAGGCAGGAGCCCATCTCCTCACTTTGTGTTTGTTACTGCAGCCTCCCTCATTAATTTAGTGAGAATTTACTGGTAAAATGGAGGCTGTTTGCACCATAACATTTATATTTAGCAACCATCTCTGTGTCCAGGTAAAGCTACAGAAACTGATTCCAGCAATGGGTTTCTGTTTTTAAACTTAAGCAGGAAAAGAGTTATTTATTTATTTATTTATTTATTTTCGGCTTGGAACAGATGATTCTGGACAGGGACCTGCCTTCTGGCTGAGTATAGAGGCGCAGCATGTTTTTCATGGCAGAGAGCCTAGCCTTGCTTTGTTGTGGATGGAAGGATTTGGGGATGTAACCATCATCTGGGGTAGAAATGGTGACGGTTGTGCCAAATTGCCAGCCTACAAACACTGGGGGTGAGTGATGTACTACAGCAGCGTTTACGCTCTTGCTTCTGTTCCGCTGTAGTGGGTGTGTAGCCCTGTGGCTGTTGAATGGAAACCCAGTGCTTCTCAGTGCTCATCCTGCACCTGGCATGCAGGAAGACTCAACTGCATTTCTTTTCCTACCTATTGACCTTGGAGATGCCATTTTACCCCTGTGAGCCTCAGCCTCTGCACCCCCAGTAACGACAGCAGCCTCATGTGGAATACTACTCCCAGGGCCCGGGGTGAGATGGGTGTGCAGGGAACAGTGCTGCTAAGCAATCCCGCAGCTGCTGTTGCCTGAATTGAACCCAGCAGAGAGCAAAGCCGTTCCCACCCGTCCCAACCCTGCCCTGGCCACAGCCCCTCTCTGGGAAACCCACGTGTTTTTGTCCTAGGCATGATGCCAAATAACCTTTCCCAGTCCTTGGCAGCTGGGCCAGTCCCTGTTCCAGCTCTTGTCTGTTGGGCTGCACTCGAGTTTCACGTGCTGGAAGTGTTCTGCAGTGTTCCTAAAGCTGATCTTGGCACTCAGGGATCTTTATGGAATACTGCTGCTGCTGAGCGAGTTAAGGGTAAAACCTGAGCACCCGGTGTTACCCAAGAGATGTGCTGGGAGCACACGGGTGGGTGTCAGCCTTAATGCCTGGGTTATCATGCCAGGGGAACATAAAGGCGGGTCCGGCAGCTCACGCTCCTAGGCACCAAAGAGGGATTTGCCTTCCCGAAGCCCCTCTGCCTTCTCCGTCCTCCCGGGCGCCATTTCCCCGCCCGCCCTCCATCCCTCGCGGTTGCCTGGCGCCATCTTGCGGCCCCTGCTGCTCTCCTGGTCGCGACCCGGAGAGGGGCGGTCGCGCACCGGGAGCCCCAGACCGCCCCGGGGGCAGCGGCGGAGCCCACCCGGAACCCCGGGTACAGCCATTATCAGGTACAGCCCCGCCGGAGGGGAAGGGCCGAGCAACGCCCGAAGAACCATGGTGCCCCCCACCTCGCGGGGCGGCTGCGGCCTGAGGGGAGCGCGGAGGCGGGGCCTGCGGGGGTGTGTGAGGAGGCGGGGCAGGGCGGCAGCGCCGGTGCGCGGCGGCGGCGGCGGCGGCGGCGGCATGAATGAGGCGGAGGGGTTGCGGCAGCGCCGGCCGCTGCGGCCGCAGGTCATCACCGAGGACAGCCCCGCGCAGCAGGACAAGGAGGGCAGGTGGGGCCTGGCGCCGTCCCCCGCCATGGGCAGGGAAGAGGAGCCTGCCGTGACCGCGGAGTTGGGCCTGGGCCTAGCCTGAAGAGGGCCGGTGTGGGGATGGTGAGGGGGTGTTCGGCTTGACCCGAGGGGAAGGTCCGGGGGGCTGAGGAGGAGCGTTCATAGTACATGTGTTGTAGGGTGGTGGTTGGGCCCGGCCTGAGGGAGAAATTTGGGTTCAGAGAATGGCAACGGAGCTGGTGAAGAGCCTGGGCACAAGTGTGATGAGAAACAGCTGAGGGACCCGGGGGGGGGGGTTTAGTCTGGAGAAGAAAAGGCTCAGGAGGGACCTTATTGTTCTCTGTAACTGCCTGAAAGGAGGATGGAGCCAGGAGGGGGCTGAGAGCTGCTCCCAAGGAGCAAGGGACAAGAGAAAACGGCCTCAATCTGCACCAGGGGAGGTTTAGGTTGGATATTGGAAGCAATTCCTTCCCCAAAGGGCAGTCAGGCATTGGAACAGGCTGCCCAGGGCAGTGCTGGAATCACCATCCCTGGAAGTGTTCACAAACCGTGTAGATGAGGCCCTCAGTGCCATGGGTTATTGGTGGCCTTGGCAGTGCTGGGGAATGGTTGGATTGGATGATCCTAAAGGTTTTTTCCAACCCTGTGATTCTGTGTTGGAAATGCAGAGGCTCCACCGGCCTAGCCTGGCCCTGGTGAGGAAGGCTCTGGTCTGCATGAGAGTGCCCTGGGGGAGGCAGTGAAAGGGGCTGGAGGGAGGCCTTGGTTCTGACGGCACAGGTTGGTGCTGAGGCTTCCGTGGGTGTCAGCCTGGGAGTACACCTAACCCTGCAGCACAGGCTCCTCTCCTCAGTGCTCAGCTTCTGCTGGGGATGGCTGACAGAGGGAGGAGTGTCTGGGGCAGGGCCTGCACACCTGCCACACTGCAGGAAGAGCTTTGAGCAAAAATAAACCAGTTTAATTTATGGCGGTTTGTTTGTTTGGTTTGGTTTTTCAGTGGGTCCGCTTGAGCATGGTTTGTCTCTCACTATGAAGAAAAAGCAGTTATCCCGTTGTGGCTTGCACAGGTTTATTGTGTGTGTGATTAAATCCTGTATAACGCCGGTTAGCCTGTTTATATTTGGCAATAGTTTAAAGACTAATCTGCGGTTTAAAGACTACATTGTATGCCTGGGATAGAATAATCTTATAAATCTTAGCCTTATTTGTTTGTGGTGAAGTTAAAGAAGATTTCATTTACAGTTTTCTGTTTAGGAATTTTATAAGAAATGAGTTTCACTGTAACCACGTGCAGTAGCTGCGGTAAGGAAGTGGTGGTGTTTGCTTTGCCTTCCACTGAATGAAGTAGTTAATGATTTTTTAATTCTTTAGTTCATCATCTATTATGTTTGTTCAGCTTGGAGTACCTTGCAGATTCTTATCTGTGCCTCACTTCAGGGTCATCAGAATGAAGCACTGCCAGGGATGGGGCATCCACAGCTTCTCTGGGCACCCTGTGCCAGGGCCTCAGTACTCTCACAGGGAAGAATTTCTTCCCAATGTCTCATCTCAATCTCCCTTCTGTCCGTTCAAAACCGTTCTCCCTTGTCCTGCTCCTGCAGGCCCTTGTCAAAAGCCCCTCTTCAGCTTTCTTGCTGGCCCCTTTAGGCACTGGAAACTGCACTGAGATCTTCCCTTAAGGAGTGTTCTCTTCTCCAGGCTGACCCAGCCCAGCTCTCGAGCAGAGCTGCTCCAGCCTCTGGGGCATTTCAGTGACCTCTTTTGGACTTGCTCCAACAGCTGGGGAAAGGTCTATGTTACTCTTGTGTTGCTCTAGGTTTTTACTGCTTTTTTTTTTTGTCAGATGTAAATATTCCTTTCTCTTATCTCAGTGAGTTCAAAATGGATCTTAAAGGTCATTCAGGATGGTGATTAGGCAAAAGTGTTCTTGTTTCCTTCTGTGGAGAAATAGGCCATTGAAGGATTTTTAAAGACTACTGTATCTTAAAACAGCTTAGCATGCTAATCCTATTTCTTATCTGGTTTGACAGTGCTTACAGCAGCAAGGTGTTCCGGGTTACTTTCTTGACTTTGGCTGCATCTCTAACTGTACCTCTGCTTGGAGTAACTGTTCTCCTGGATTGCCCTATAGACCCTCAGCCTATAAGGTAAATTGTTGCTTTGTTTTGAAATAAATGTTGTTGAAGGGTGACTTCTTGTGTGTGTTCTGCTGCTGGTTTTGATGGTTTGGTTTGTTTGTGGGTTTGTTTTTTTTCTCCTCACCAAACAGGAGTCAACTGTGTAAAGGGGTTCTAACTGGGCTAAGAAATTGGGGAGTAGTATTATCCACTGCCATGGCTTGCTTTGCATACCCAGCCTGTTTCTGAGCTGCCTTGTGCATTTGATCATTGAAGGAGCTGAATCAATAATGCTGTCCAAGCTGTCAGTGAAGCTTGTGATTCCTTATGTGCACTCTTGCCTTCTGTGAGACAAGAACTGCATTTTTGCTAAGGACCAAGCTGCACCCCTGTTACTGTAGTTCTGCAAAAAGAGACTGTTTGTCTGAATACGTAAGCTCAAAATAGATAACCTGACTGGGTTGATGTAGTGCTTTGTACCATCACAGCCGCACAGTAATGTTATATTTAAAGACAAATCTCACCAAGTAATGCGTCTAGGTGATTTCTGCCCTGTCTGAATTGAGGTCTGTATCAGATGTGTAGTGTAATAGTGAATCCTTCATGTGAGACGATGTGACCTGTTTTGGGAGTTGTGCTTTGACTGCTAGCATAGGGTGAAGTCAAGCTGTTTAATGTTCCTGGCATTTTGAAGTAAGTGAAAGTGCTCAGTCTGATATTTACTGTCATCTCTTATCATAAATCCTTACTGAAAAGGAACAACAACACTGTAAATATCTCTAGAGCTGAAAGAAAGTGTTAATGTGGGAGGGTAGTACTTGCCACTAGGCTATTAGACATAATCTGCCTTATTTCAAATTATAATGAAATGCTTTCTGCTGTGGTTTGGTTTAATAAAACCCAATTCCCTGAACTACATTGGAACTGAACAGTAATTCTGAAAGCCAGTAGTATAAGGCTATGATGCTTTTCCTGTTATATAGGCCTGGTCTGATTCTGGTGCAGAGTAAAAGTATTCTGCATGCTTACGTTTCTTACTTTAAGTCACTTTTATAAGACAGAGAGAATTATTCTTCCTGCCCAAATTGCTGTCTTGCATTGTTGTACATTCTCAATTAGCTTGTTAGCTTAATTGCTAGGGGTGGTTCCAGTGTGTACAGTAGAAAGGATGATTCTGTGTGATGTTTGAGATGTTTGGAAAAAGCTCAAGGAGGTGGATGCTGCCTGAATCAATCCCTTCAGTGAAAGGACACGTTTGAGAAATCCCATTTGCCAGTAGTGATGTTATTCCTGTAAGCCACTGGAAATAATGAGGAATAAGAGGGGAGACAGAGATCAGATGTGAAACTCCACGCGAAATTCCTGCAACTCTGGTTTATTTCCTTTCTCTATGAGCCTGTCTTGGATAATATTGATCTCAGGGAGGATTTTCTGCTTGCAAACACAGCTGTCTGAAGTTCCCAGCAAATGAGTTCCTTATCAGAAGGCTGCTCTTCTCATCTTAACATCTCTAATGCTTGGAAAAAGGGATGAAAACTGAATTTGTGTTAGCATTTTGAAGACAAGTCTGTTGTAAATCACCTGTGACAGAAGCTAGTAATTCATTTGGCTTTGCCAGTGTAGTAATAGATACTTAAAGGAAGGTTTGCTGCCTGTAGCCAGACAGATAAAAGTATGTATCTTTTCTCTCCTGAATTCTTCATGTTGTGAACCTGTTGTCCTTAGTTGTCATGGCTTTTATAGTTTACAGCTTCAGTTGACTTCCTCCAGTCACTGCAGCTTTAGAAACTGTAATGGTTTTTACCACATGAGTTGCAGTGTGGTTGATTACAAATAGGTCCTGGATCCTGTGAACCTGGGCAAAGTTGGGAGTCAAAACTCATCTTTCTGAGGTTCTACAGGTGGAAGGCATTTGCATATGGTCATGTGAGGAGTTTTTAGCATACTCTTGTGAATGTGAACCCCTAATGAGCTTACCACTTTGGACCCGTGTGCAGTTTTTAGTAGTAACTCAAAATCCTTAACTCATGGGGACTGAAGTGGCTTATGTGTGAGTTTTTAAGAACCTAAGAGATTCAAACATCTTGAAGTTTGCCAGCACAGTTACAGCTGTTTTTGAAGCACAGTGCTTTTGAGCCTGGTATTTAAGCTGAAGCTGTGTAACCATCTCACTACTTCTCCATATCTCTGCAGTTAGTTGGAACTCCAGTTGGCTTGAGCATGGCTATTTTTGTGAATAAAGCTTTGCAAGATTTGACCTTATTTTGTTATTTTGAGAGTTGAGTCCATACCCTTTAAGTTTTTGTAACTTACTGCTTTGGGTTGCCCTTTCTCTATGGGAATAAATACAAGTCACGAACAGGAATATTATGGTACAGAAGCAGGTGCGTGCTGGTGCTCAAAGTACTGGAGCACTTTTTTCCCTAGCTGTATGCCCAATAAGCATTTTTTATTATTTGTTTCCTACAGTGTTGGCTCTCAGTGTACTGTAAAATGCCATGCTTTTAAATTTTAAAGCCCTTTTGCTTAGGAATTTTCTTATCTCTACTTAGGAAAAATATTTTGATGCAAACAGCTTGTTCAGCTGAATAAGAAAGCAGCTATTCTTTGTGTGGTGGCAGTGCAGAAATCACAGAATAAGCTAGGCTGGAAAAGACTCTCAAGATCATCCATTCCCCAGCACTGCCAAGGCCACCACTGACCCATGGCACTGAGGGCCTTCTCTACACGGTTTCTTAATACTTCCAGGGACGGTGATTCCAGCACTGCCCTGTGCAGCCTGTTCCAATGCCTGACTGCCCTTTGGGGAAGGAATTGTTCCCAATATCCAGCCTAAACCTCCCCTGGTGCAGCTTGAGGCCTTTTCCTCTTGTCCTGTCTTTTGTTCCTTGGGAGAAGAGACCAGCCCCCTTCTGGCTCCATCCTCCCTTCAGGTAGTTGTAGGGAGTGATAAGGTGTTGTTGGACTTTAAGCTGTATGAATTTCCAGATATATCTTAGGAAAACATAACTGCAACTTTTCTGATCAGAAGCAGAAAATTATGATCCTTGATGAACAGGAGCCAATTTCTCAGCTTGTCAGCTGTGTTTTCTTTTTGGAAATGTGCTGTAAGTAAGGCACAGGTCAGGTTTGCAGGAGTTGGCATACCAGGAAAAGAAAATGGTGCAATGCGTGTTTGCAGATCGAAGTGAGGGATCATGAGGTCTGTGTTCTGTTTTGCAGTTTGAAGGAACCTCCACTCCTGACGGGTGTGCTTGAGCCCAATGTCAAGTTGCGCAAAGCTGAGCGGTTATGGGAAAATCAGCTGCTTGGACCCGAGTCCATTGCCAACATCGGGGGTAAGCACTGACAAAATAACCTTTTAAAGAAGGGTCTCAAAATGTTGCTCCATTGGTCAAGGTTTGTTCAGCAGTACAACTCTTAGATAACAAACTCTGCAAGTTATTTTGAATGTGCAGGGTTTTTCTAGAAATACATGTGTTATGCAACAAAACCTGGCTGCTATATAGTGCTCCATCCCTGGCAGTATTCAAGGCTAGGTTGGACGGGGTTTGGAGCAATCTGGTCTAGTGCAAGGTGTTCCTGCCTGTGGCAGGGGGTTGGAATTAGATTAGAGTAAAGGTCCCTACCAGGCCAAACAAGTCTGTGATTCTGTGATACTGCTTTTCTCCTCTTTACCCAGTGTAAAATAAATCTTGTTTCCAGATTAAAAATCCCTATATTCCAGGAATGAAAGCAGCAACAAGGTAGTCAGGGGCCGCTTATATTTGAAGGCAGTGGTCCCAATTTTCATCTATTTAGCTCTTAACTGGGAATTAATATTTAGAGGGTAATGCCTACTCTTTTAATGCTCACTGCTGCTGAGGGAGCCGAGTTTTGTGGTGTTAATTTTTGCTTATATGTGAGAAAAAAATCTCAGATAGATAGTGTATTTACGTACATGCATTACAGGTGCCATGCCACCTGTGAGCAGTTTCTTAACAAGGTGGCTGGACTGGTAATGTTTCAATGTTTTGTCTCATTGGAAATTGGAAGGAAACCTTCCTGTAAGGGACAACTGACTTACGGGTGGAATAATCAGTCTGGCTGGAAATAAGTTTGGTATGAATAAATGTCGAAGTCTTCTTATTCCCTTTTGAAAGTGTAACTAGCAAACTGAACACTAAATCAGTTAAAATGGAGATGGAAAAGTCGAAGCAGTGGGCTCTTCTAATCCAGTGGTCTTTTATTTAATTTGGTTCTAAGGAAAAGTTTGTGCATTGTTTGTATTCAATGAATCTGTCTGATGGTATCACTTGGCATGAATTTAGTAATTTGGCAAGGATTTGGATTTGGGTAGTTGTTCAGTTGCTGTGGGTTTTGCAATTCTGCTGCAGACCTGATACAATATGAGCATTGGCAGATGTCCAGCAGCCTGTGGACTGTATCAGAGTGAGAAGTCTTATCTAGTCAGGCTCTTGTTGAAGAGTGGTAGGATGGATGCAGTGCCTGATCCAGTTTGATTCTTATGTAGAAATTTGCCCAGAGGGATCAACATAGTGACTAGCCATTAAGTTGTTACATGCATCTTTAACCAAAGATTTGTACTACTTATGGGTGAAAAGCTTCATATCCCATACTCATAACTGCTAGGGCTTCAATCCTTCCTCTTCGTTCTCAGTTGGAAAAAATCTAACTAAATACTCTTATTTGCCTTCATCTTTCCCCTTCCCTCTTTATTCTGTTGCTGTGACTGAAGAAGACTGTTACTTTACCTTAAACATGCTAATAGAAGGATTGTGTAGAAGGATGTGTGCCACTAAAGTTTTGTGATGAAGCTAATCACACCAGTTGTTTTTGCAGATGTGCTATTTACTGGGACAGCTGATGGGAAGATTATCAAAATTGAAGATGGAGAAATACAAACAATAGCCAGAATTGGCCACGGTCCTTGTGGTGAGTGACACCTCCTGAACGTCATGTGCCTCAGAGTGTCTAGGTCAAGGCTTGTGTTGATTAAACTGGTGTTCTGTCCCGATTTCTCATGTAAGTGCGTATCTTCCTTGATAGAGATTTATAACAGCAGGGGGATTGGAACAAGATGATTTTAAGGTTCTTTCCAACCCTGATCATTCTATGATTCTATAATAACAGAAATATGAATAGATTTGTATGAATGGAAATATGTATATAAGCACTGAAAGGAACAGTAGAACAAAGGGCCCAAGGAATGAGAGTGGGTGCACTTGGTTTATGTCACGACTACAAGGCCTGCACTCTTGCAAGGCTTCAGCATAGATGTCTCAGAATCAGCTAGGCTGGGAAAGACTGTTAAGATCATTAAGTCCAGCTGCTGACCCAGGACTGCCAAGCCCACCACTAAAGCATGTCACTAAGGGCCTTGTCTACATGGTTTCTGAACACTTCTAGGGATGGTGACTCCACTGCCCTGGGCAGCCTGTTCCAGTGCCTGATTAAAATGCCTGATGTGCTGGTAGAAGATCCTGTACAACACCGGGAGGAAGACGAGGTTGAAGTACATCACAAATAACATTCCTTTTCCTGTTAGCTGATCTAGAAAAGTACATGTCATAAATAAGCAAACAAAAAAAATGGGCAGCAACCTGGCCTAATAGTTATGGAAGCTGAAGTCAGCAGAATTCTGAGGTGAAGGGCCACCCCAGAGCCTTCTCTTCTTGAAGGTCTTTTCCAACCTGCTTGATTCTATGATTAGGCTCTGGACTGATTTGGAAGCACTCTCTTGGCTGCCTAACAGGTAGGGCAGCCTTGGCACTGACAGCCAGTCTGCTACCAGCTGCACTTCCAGCTGCTGCTTAGGCATGAATGTGGATTGGAACAAATATAAAAAATTACCTCTTCACTGTTCCTTTCTTCTAAACTTGTACAGCTTGGGAGAGGTGGGAAGATTATGTTGTCCTATTTCTTTGGGGCCAAAGAGGTATTGGGGAGTGTAGACTTCATCTTGCCCTGCTTTGAGTTCAGAAGGGATGTGGAAAGGCTGACTACCTTCTCCAGAAGTTCACTTGCTGATCTTTGAAACTACAGATGTTCCTCAGGACTCACTCAAGTAGACAAAATCTATAGATTTCTGTATTCCCCTTCCTCCTCACACAGATGTCTTCAGGGTCTATGTGTACAGTTTGACCTGTGTAGGTAGCCTGAATGCTTTGTATTTATTTCTGTTTGGAAAACCATTTTAAAATTCTTTCCTAAGGAACCCGTGATGATGAGCCAACGTGTGGAAGACCACTTGGCATCAGAGTGGGACCAAATAACACCCTTTTTGTGGCAGATGCTTATTATGGACTCTATGAAGTTAATCCCGGTACAGGTATGACTTTTTTGCTCAGAAGGTCTCTTCTACTGACAAACCTGGGCTTCATTTGCAGTTTTGTCAGGCATTGCAGGCAAAGCAATGCCTGCTGCTTTTGTAGAGTGCCTTGTGGCTGTTTGGATGAAAAATGCCATGCAGGACTCGGTATTTATTGTCTTGTAGCAATCACTTCCTCTCTCTATCTGTATGTCTGGATCAGAATTACCAGTGCCTTATCTTCTTGTGACATATGCTTTTTGGTTGTCAAAATTGGTACCTCAGGATCCATGAATAAAGCTTTATGTAGCTGCTTCAGTTTTCATCAAGGGAATTAAAAATACTGCTGTTACACAAGCTTTTTGCCATGTTTGCTGTACTTGTGTTTCTGTCCTGACCTTGCGGTATGTTAGTGAGGAGCTTTTAACTCCATGTAACTCCAGTTGATACAAAGTGAAGAAGGATGTATTTTTGGTACAGCTGAAGATCAAGTGGCTTGTTCCTGCTGAGAAAGGCACTATTGCTTCATGCCCTTCATTGTATGTCCCTGAGCCAGAACTCAGTTTCAGGAGCTGTGCTGTCAGAAAGTAAGATTTGCTTTTGTGTAGGGTTGATTTTTCTGACAGTTTACATCTCCAAATTGGCTTCAGGAAGGGAGAGGAAGGCTAGTCAAATGCTGGGTGAGATGTAACAGAAGGGCTCAAGACTGTGTGGCTCTGGGAGCGTATGATCAGGGTCTCCCCTTTTGATGGGACAACTGCCATATTGCCTCAGTCATGACAAAACAAACCAACCCGAAACTCATACCCAAGGATGATTTTAATAGCTTTTTGGTTAATTTTTAGAGATTTGCTGGGTAATGTGTCAGAGCTGACTGTGGTAGAGCAGTTTAGTGAAACTTCTGATGTTTTAATGTTGAGAAAGTACTATTTGTTCCTACAGGGAAAGAGGCAATAGTGTTTGGGACCTGAGTTACTACTTGGTTTCATATGGGCTTAAGAAACCCGGAAAATCATGCACTTACCAGTAGGGAACATCATCTACTGTTCCAATTTTTCCAAAGAGCGTTTTCTTCTGGTCGTTCACGTTTGTTGTTGAGTTGTTCTGTTATAACTGAGAATCTTATTAGTTAACAGAGGCATGAATGATAAAAATATGAAGTACCTGCTAATTTCCTGTTAGTATTTCACTCCTTTCCAAGGCAGGACATAATAAAAGCTTGTTCTGTACGTCTTCTGTTTTTAATTCTTCTTTTTGTAACCAGGTGAAACGAAAATGCTCGTGTCAACCAAAACACCAATTGAAGGTCAGAAGCTGTCATTTGTGAATGACCTTACAGTGACCAGGGATGGGAGGAAAATCTACTTCACTGACTCCAGTAGCAAATGGCAAAGGCGAGACTACTTATACTTGATCATGGAAGGCTCAGATGATGGGCGGCAAGTATCTTTTCCAAAGACATTTAACTTATTGTCAGCTCAGCTGTAGGAAGGTACTCCACCACTTCCTTGGTCGTCTTTTTCTCTTTATGCATCCCCTGTGTAAACCCTGCACTGCCCAGGAGAGGGTGAGAGAAGGTGTGGATGTGGCTAAAGAAAACTGCAGTGAAATAACTGAGATTCCTCTTTTTTCCTTCAAGAGCAATTGCAGGGAACATTTGTTTTAAAAGGGGAGATGTTGGCATTACGTCCAGCCCACATCCTTCATGAATGCTGCCAATCTCAAGTGCCTTAGTATTTCTGCTGTGTTCATAAACAAATGGTTCCTGGCTCTTCTGCCTTTTTAACTTGGGTGAAGTGCATGTGAGAGAAGATCCAATGCCTGGAGAAGAAAGCCAGGATGAGTAAATAAATGCCTTCACTCTAAATCATATTCTTTCTTTTCAGTCTGCTGGAATATGACACAGTGACAAAAGAAGTGAAGGTCTTAATGGTGGGGCTAAGGTTTCCCAATGGTGTCCAGCTCTCTCCTGCGGAAGACTTTGTCCTGGTGCAGGAGACAACCATGGCTAGAATCAGGAGGTGAGTATGATTTTGGTGAACTTATTACTACTTTCTGTTCAGATACTGTTTATGTAAATGAATTGAATCACAAAAGATACTCTACACTCTATTCATTCCAAGTTACCAAGGCAAAGAAGGTGGCCTTCAGTACTTAAGGTTTTGTTTTCACTGTAAACATCTGGACTGCATAATCTTTTTATCATAGACTCCTTTCCTGGGGAGCAGAATGGGACTGTGCTGTATTTCCCTGCACCAAAAGAAGGAAAAAATAAATTCTTTTTATTTTTTTTTGAAGTCAATTCCTTTTGGGACTTTTATTTATTACTTAGACTGCTTGAGTTAAGATGTCCTAATCCTACTGTCTATACCTTTCAGGTATTATGTATCTGGGCTGATGAAAGGTGGAGCAGATATGTTTGTTGAGAATATGCCTGGTCTTCCAGATAATATCAGGTTAAGCAGCTCTGGAGGATATTGGGTAGCTATGGCAGCTGTCCGTCCCAATCCTGGATTTTCTTTGCTGGATTTCTTGTCTGAAAAACCATGGATTAAAAGGATGATATTTAAGGTAAAAAAAAACCCAAATCACCTTTAGTTATAGGAGTAGAAGTGACAAATACTTAGTTTGTCCTGGTTCTTCCTCTTGACAAGATTTTACAGTTTTTTTTAGGGCCATGGTTAAAGCTGTTGTGGTTGCCCCCAGGTAGAACAGCCATTTTGTGTTCATAGGAAGTAAAACTAGCATTTGCTTCTGAGTAGCAGGTACACATCTCTTAAGTTGTTTTCCATCTTGATGGAAAAAGAGACTGTCTCTGCCCTAGTCATGCATCAAGACAGGACGTACACTTGGATATGTGAAGACCTCACCTTTGTGCCCAAAGTGCCTAAACTACTTATTGCCAGATGTCTGGAGAGCATTTGGGAAGTCTGACCTGTTCTAATGACTACCCTAGACATCCTAGGAGAGTGTGCATGTTAGGTATGCTGCTAGGTGCTGGCTCAATATGCCTGTTGTTGTGTCACATCCACCCTTTAGGATGAGGATGAGCAAGAATAATGTATTTTGTAAGGAATATCTGATGCTAAGGAAATGGCATGGTGCTTTTTAAACAGTACAAAGACTTGAAAGCACTTCTCAAAAACACCCCCATAAATAAACAAGCAGTGTTTAGGGTGAAAGTTAACGTGTTAAGCCTGTGTATAGAATCATAGAATCACTTGGGTTGGAGAAGACCTTTAAGATCATTGAGTTCAACCATTAACCTATTCTCAATGAAAATAAATATCAGACTTCTTAATTCCTACCAAGAGGAGTGGCTGCAGAACTGGCCTGGTGAGATTTCCTCCATACATGTCGTCACACCTTTTTGCCAGTGGAGGTGATCAACTGCAAAATCATTTACCTGTGTGGAAAATATGAGGGACAGTATCAGGCTGGTTTTGAGCTACAGGCAGACAAATCCAAGGGGGAAAAAGGCCTATTCCTCAAAAAGAATGAGTTTTCTGAAGAAAGTGAAGGAATAGACACTTTAGGAAGACCTGTTACAGGGTCATTTCCTTGGCCAGGTCTTCTCTTTGCATCCTTTTCTTCCAAATTTGTATGCTTACGTTTGCCTCTTGAGGAAGGAGATGGCATTGAGGTAGCCTAGATAGTACATGGGAAGGCAATGACTTTGGTTAATCCTTAGTTTTGCCCACCAGGCTCTAGATGAACAGTTACAGTTTTACCTGTTATTAGAGCCTCAGTTATGGCTTTAAAATCGTCCTTGTCCTACAGAAGGAAGACTACCATGTATTAAAGCATTAGTTGAAATTCAAAAGGTGAACACAGAACAGAGTAATACTGTTTACACAGAATGTGTGCTTATGTTCTTGGCTGCTTCTTCCAAGGAGAGTGGTCTTTGTCTGAGTGTCTGAGATCTAATTGCGGAGAACAAAATCTTCTGTTGTTAATTCTCTTTTTTTCTCTTTTAGTTGCTGAGTCAGGAAACTGTGACAAAGTTTGTGCCCAAATACAGCCTTGTTGTTGAACTAAGCGAGACAGGAGCCTACAAAAGAAGCTTTCATGATCCCAATGGGGTAACAGTAGCTTACGTTAGCGAGGCACATGAGCACAATGGATATCTTTACCTGGGCTCCTTCCGGTCTCCGTTTATTTGCAGACTGAATCTTCAGCATGTTTAACTGCCCATCCATGATAAAGTGCCGCTGTCCTAGAATACTCCAGAGGTACGAGGGAAGTGTGTGCTTCAGCCAGCATGTGACCAAGGACAAAACGTGAAAGACAGTCTGTTCATGTGCAGTAGTGCTGTTCTGGTGCCATAGGAAAACGTACAGCTCGCTGTACTTGTCCTCTTCCTTGTTTTGTCTGCTCTTGTTTTGGAGTTGGCATGCCTCATTGTTGGTATCTGAGGAGTATGGTGGGGCATCTTCATACCGTTATGTGCTCCTTAAAGAAAATCTGTTGCTTTTCCATGCTCAGCTCTGTTTGGAGTTGTCCTAATCATCTGTCACCTTTAATGTAACTGTATGTTTTCTTATACTGGGAGGATTTGTGATGTATGGAATTTAACTGTGTATGATTCAGGTTGAAGAGGATGTCCTGCATGTGTTTATTTCTGTTTTAGAACCTCCTGTTCAGGAGAGATTACAGTGCATGTTCTAATGTCATACCATGGTGCTGTGGTAGAGGCAGCAACATCCAGAACATGCCTAGAAATCTAGTTACACCATTTGGGTTTCTTCAGTTCCAGCCTGTGTAATCAACATCAGACACTACAATTAGCTGTTAATCAAGATGCAGAATCAACTTGCCTGTGATCTGTGGACTCCTGTGTTTTGTTATAGCACTGTAGTCAGATGATGAATGAAAGTTGCATTTTCTATGTTATTAAAGACTAGTTTAGCTGGTTTAAAAGGGGTCAGTGGTGGTATTTCCCCCATGTTTACCAGGTCCTGTATGTCTCCTGTACATGATGTAGGTGGGCATTCCTGAGGGATGTAGGAGGGAAGAGGGCCAGCTGCAGGAATCCTCTTCAGCATGTGTTTTATGGAGAATTGGTAAATATTTTGGGGAAACTAGTGTCTGAAGATGGGCATGGACTAAAAGGCCCCTGTAAAATACAGCAATAACAGATGAGGAAGGCTTTGGTAGAGTATCTTAGAATGCAGTAGTAACTCATGGATGCTTTCTGGCATCTCCAGAGGAAATTGTTTGCTTCCTCTATTAACAGGTACCTTGCTTGGTAAATCCAGAGAATGCTCTTCTGACAACTACTACAAAGGAAAGGCTGTGCTGTTACATTTTAAATAAGAGGGTTTGCATCTTAAAGAACTAAAGGGGTTGCTTATCTGTATCATTTAGGGATTGAGTCGTGCTTTGTGAAGACTTTGCTGCACTCTCTTTTTCTGCCACTGGGTGATAGTCAAACATAAAGCTACACTATTGCTCGTTTTGCTCACCTTTGAAATGGGAATAATCAAGATTTGATTGAGATATAATGCAAAACACCAGAGAAGGGAAAGGTGACGTTAAAAATGTCATCTGCTTTCACTGGCCTTCTGCACTCATCTTCATTAATGGAGGGATGTGCAAATGAAAGCATTTCTTCTCTGTCAGTGCTTCTGTCACCTTGCTCTGTGTGACTGCCAGGCTGCGGCAGTCATGTGGCTGCAAGCCCTCTTGCTATGAAATTTGAGCTGGATGAGATCTTAAATTGGGGTTGCAAAACCAAGTCTGTTGTGGAGCTTGTGTCATGCTGGTGCTTCAGTAGCCTTGCGGCAAGCCCAGCTTTGCCTGTTGGTGCATAGTTACCTCTAATGATTCATTTGCTGGAGTATCTTAACTGAACAACTTGTACTGTCTTTTGCAGTGAAAGAGACCTTGGCATGCCAAATGGGATAGCTTTTGTGTGACTAATTCCCTTCTAAGACAATGTTCAAGAACGTATGAAATGGGAAAGAAAATAGGCTGTAATGCTACTGATATCAGGAAGGATAAGATGTATGAAGAGTTGTCTCTGGGTCTGATCTTTTTTCTTTTCTTCTACCCACTGCTGAAGACTGTCGCAGTACACTAATGAACCTGTGGTCACACCAAGAAGTTCTTGAGTCTTCTTTAGCTAGCTGTGAGCTCAGCAGCAAGTACAGCAGACCCAAAGGTCATGGGAATAACTTGCTTTTCTTGGGGAAGGGGAAGGAGAATGTCAAATATGAGAGATACTTCACAGAGTGGCCTTTCTTGACGGGACGGTTGTTATAAAGGCTGAAATTGGTGGTGTCACTGCTAATAGGAGTGTCGATATTGCTGCACGAAGGCAATAACTGTCAGAAGAAAAGGGGTGTTTTGGGGAAGAAAGTCCAACAGGGCCCTGACTTTATGCCTGTTTTAAGGAAGCAGTTACCAAAATCCTGACGAATAAGTGCTTTAGTCCACTGTACTGTAAGTAATAATCTGTGCACATGTGAAGAGTGAAGGCTGCAGGAAGGGTGGGCACCCACCTAGAAAAGACCATTAGTCTACTAAACTTGACTCTGAGCTGTGATCAGCCAGAGACCAAATGTCACATATTAACCTGAATGAAACATCATTGTTTAACCTCGGCGAAAATATGCTTTGAGAATATGGTTGGGTTTATTTGTCTTGACATTTGCAATGATGCCCTTTTATAGCCCAGATTAGCTATGATTTAAATAGAAGCAGTAGTTACTGTGTCATCTGTGGGCTGTGGGTGTTTTTCAAGCATTTGACTCAAGCACAGCCTTATCCATACTCTTGTCTGGAAGAAAGAACAAGTCTACCTCACGCATTCCTGACAAGTAAGTTTAACTTTTTCTCTAGCAATGGAGGCTCTTAAGACTTTTTTTTTCTGGTATGTATATGTATCCTCAGGCAAGCTATCCCACTGCTATAAAGCTTTCATCAATACTGTAGTCACATGTGCTGTGGTTTAGACTTCACATCAGAGCTGCGTGAAGATTTGTCACAGGATAAAGCAAGTCCAACAGAGCTCCCTAGGTGTGTTTACATGGCTTGGAAGTTCAGCCAGAGCTTGGATGGCTCTACTGAATGAATGACAACATGTTCTCATCTACAGTTTAGTTTTGGATAAACAGGTACACAACTGGATAGCAATGAATTCAGTCAGGGCAGGCTGTGTCTTTGTAGCTTCTGATCATCTTTCTCAGGGAGAAACCATGTGCTTTGAGAGAAAAGGGAAAACTTGCCTGTAAGTCAGGCTCTTGTGGGGAAAGGTGAGTCAGTGACAGTGAGCAACAGGAACATGTGCTATATGTAGCCAGGGCATTATCCAGACCTCAAAATAGCATTTCAGCATCTGCAAATAAAAGAATTGATGAGGAGATTCAGGGGGCTGCTTGCTGGTCTCTGCATCATGGGCTGTGATCAGGTAGGACGGCACAGCCTCGTTCTTTCTGCTCTCTTTATCCTAGGGAAAGTAGTTTGCTAGATAATGGTGGCTTTGTTGGAAAGCCCATCTAAGGGTTTCCTCCTCCCAGGAAATGTCTGTTCAGAACCTTCTGTATTTTGGCACACTTTGTTACCGAGGAAGAGGGACTAGATGGCTGTGCCCGAGTTGACTCCTCACACAGAAGAGCAGGCCCTGAATGCATGAGAGGTACTACACTGTACCTGTCATATATATTCACAGAATGGTTTGGGTTGGGAGGGACCTGCCACAGGGACAGATAAATGATAACCCTGGTATACTGATAACCCTGCCGTGCTCCAGCTGGTCCTGCACAGAGGAGGCTTGTAGCTGTCCTGAGACATGGCAGAGCTGCTCTGATGGTGACTATACAGCTAGAGATGGCCAAGAATCCCCTGCAGCTACTGGGTACCCCAAAGGAATTAGACATGTACCTGTTGCAGGCTTTTTTCCTTCTGGAAGTGACAGCTATCCAGGCTGGAGTGCTCCCTCTTCTTACACACGGTGCGTTCAATCTCCACAGACAGCATATATTTCAGCCCTCTGACGATCTAGAGAAAGCAGTTTCCTCCTTTAAAGTAAGGGCAGGGGAAAGGGATGCCAAAGTTTTGGCTGGGAATCAAGTGGTACCTCTGTACCTCTGTGTGTGAAGTGTTTTGTTACTAGGGTAGGGATGGGGTAGCCAAGCTCTGTGGAGCAGTTGAAGGGGACAGAGGAACACGAGCTGTTTATCTTTAGGCATCCATAGCAGTCCTGAGGAGGATCAGGGCGCCTGTATCTTGGGTGCTTTGTGGGAGAGTCAATTGGTAAATGATTTGGAGGGCCACCAGTAGTCTGAGCTCTTCTTACCTGAACCATAGCTTTGTTTATCTGTGATTCCTTAAACAGAAAAAGGTCATTGGAACTGTTGTTGTATCTGTAGACTCCAAAGCGAGCTGCCTTGCGGACACCAGGGTTGTCAGTGTTCATGGGGACAGGGAAACCAGGTTTCACGGTTGAATTAGGTGGTAGGACGTAGGTAGCTGAAACAGCACAGAGCACAAATGCAGAACACATCAGGAGCCTGAGGTGGTGGAAGTTCAGCCCTCTGAACTAGTGCTAAACCTCACTTGTCCATAGCACTGGTACTTCAGGACTCTGTCACCTCCGTTACAAAGTCATTTTCCTTTATATGTTTGTGATGGTGAAACAACCCTGTGGAATGAAGTGACATCAAAAGATGCTGCTAGAAGTGGTAGCAGAGCTCAGAGTGACTTAGAAGAAGCCATACTATCATGAGTATTATTTAGAACATCTCTGGCATGATGACTCCTGGCTCATAGAAGTCCAGCTTTGAATCTAAAGATAGATCATGTTGCTCAGAATAGAGTATGATTTTTGATAACTTAAGAGGCCCTGGCTTGCAGAGCCCTGCTGCTCTTAGCTGGCATGCCAAGTTCAACTTGCAGAGATCAGTCTTTCCCACCCCCCCGTAATGCTTTGATGGCATCTTGAAGTTTTTATTTTAGGGGGATTTAGGTGGTGATAAAGGTGAGGGGGAGATATCTTCCTTCTACATACTGAGAGTTGTTATCCCTCTCCTCTGAGAGGGAGAGGATGCTCTACAGCTGGGCACAGGGAAGGACCTGGGGCAGACCTTGGACCAGCAGAACAGGCTGCTTTGGGTGCTGAAGTGCTGCTGCCCTTACGAAAATGCAAAGGACCATCTTCTTGCCACAGCCATGAGGTGGAGGAGGAATGTGTGTAAGAGATGGAAACTGGAGGGGGGAACCCATAAGCTTTTGAGTTTGAGCACTCCTTTCCACACACTGTATGTTCTTACTTGGTTGTGTAGCTCATTTCCCTATGCCCTGCTTGTTTTTTCAGTAACTTTGAAGAAGCTTGAAGCTAACAGTATGTCCTTTTTTTCTCCCCTCTTACACTTGCCTTCCTTTCTCTTTTCCTGCTTGTGAAATACACAGGTTGAGGATTTTTCCCTCTTGCTTGTAAGTTACTGTGCAACCACTGCTGATGCCAAGACCATGGCCCTTGGAGCTCATGCTCTGTGTGTAGGCAGTGAGCCTGCCTATGCATGCAAACGTGCGCACAGAGCTTGGGCTAAATGTGCTGCGAAAGTTAAGGTTCTTATCACCTCCAGCTCTTTCACAGCTAGATTTCTCACTCACAGCCAAATGTGGACTGTGAATTTAAGCCAGTTTCCACTGAGAAACCAGAGCAGAAAAGAGAGCGGCAACCTGAGCTACCCTAGCACTGGGAAAGTCTGCCAGGCTGAGGGCAGCTCAGTGGCTTGGGCTCTTCTGGCTGCTCTGCAGGACCTTGCTTGTATCTATGCTCTTAGACCTGTTGGAGAATCAGATGTGGCAGTGGTTGGGGTGCCAACAGCAGAACCTGTCCCTCACAGGAGGAGGAGATAACCATGAGCTTTTTCAAACTCAGCACAAGGTCCTTTGCTGCTTGATATCCCTCAACACTTCTAGAGTCATGGTGGCATCTATTTTAGGCATATGGGGCAGGGTGGGTGAGGCTGAGCTCATGCTGTAGACAGATGCAGACAGATAGCACACTGGTAATAAACCATATGTTGTAGGTAGGTGGTAGGCTTGTGTAGATGGCATGGCTTTCACCCAGGGGTCCTGGCACTGCACCTCCTTCACCCATTGCAACTTGGTACTGAGAAGGACTTGGACCAGAGTAAAGTGAGTACTGAATCCACTGAGCCATGGGAGAACATTACCAACCCACTCTCTTCTCCCCTGCCCTGCTTTCTTCTAGGGATTCATATTCCTCAAGATTAGGACTTTGGTTTTCTTTATATGCTTTGAGTTTTATTCAAGGCAGCTGCTGCATAATACCTGCACTGCTCTGAAATAACTTTTGATGTTTGGAATAGTTTGCACCACTCCTTCTAAAGCCCAGCAACTCTCTGGTGTGGGGCACCTGTAGTTCTGATTCTCTTCACCACAACCTTTCATGAGAGCTTCTTACAGGATCACAGATGGATTTAGGTTGGAAGGGATCTTAAAGCTCATCCAGTTCGAACCCCCTGCCACGGACAGGGACACCTGCCACTAGAGCAGGTTGCTCCAATCCCAGTTCACCTTGGCCTTCTTCCCTAGCTTAGCCTTTGGGGGCCATTACCTTTGAAAGTTGAATGTGTTCATGGTGATGGCCCTGCTTCAGGAGCAAAGCAGAACAGCCCAGAGGATGTGCTCTCATGGCTTGGAAAAGCAGCCCTGAGAGCCAGAGCATTTGTATTTTCGGACCCCATCCTTTGCTTCTGGGTTTGGAAATGGGAAGAGACGGGAGAAAATCTGCCCCCCACCCCCCCTTCTGTTGGGTGGTAGCAGTGTAGACTCTTGCTCTAACAGGCAACTGCCTGCTATTAAGCAAGAGAAGGCTGCTGTTGCAGGCATGAGTTGAATGTTGTATTTGGAGGCTCTCTCTTGTGCTTTCCTCATTGAGGAATACTCTGGGGGCTCCGTTTCTGCAGGAGGAGACAGCACTCCTGTGGATGCTCCCTCCCAGCCTGCAGTGAAGCAAACGGGCAGACAGCAACAGGTTGCTCTTTGTTTTTCCTTCCCCATGAGGTGCTTTCAAAACCTCCTCCCCATTACCAGGAGCAAGCCTTTATCTACATTTCAGATGCAGCAGAGTTCCTGCAGGCCTCCGCAACCCCCAGAGGAAACCACAGCTGAAGAAAAGCTGCCAGCCAAGCAAGCACCATGCCCCTGGGTGCGTTGGTACTGTGTGTATGGGAGCCAGAGTGAAACTGAACTAGAGCTAAAACCTGCAGAGGAAACACTCCTGTCTGCAGCTCCCATTCTAAAGATTTAAGGCCAGCTGCAATCAAGAGAGTTTCCTTGCTCAGCAAAGAAAGGAATGTCACACAGTAATGCTTCATTAAAGGCAGCTAATCGGCACTCAAGTGCCCATCTGCACTTAGCAGTCAAATTGTTACCCACAGTCTTTAGATTTAATAATCAAGGTCGTGCAGAGTTTAAACACAGACAAATAACTTAAAACCATCTCTAGAATCCGTCAGTGCTGTCCCTGGATAACGTGGTTTGCTGCAAGGGGAGAAAGTCTTTCAAGCAGTTGGGTTTTCAGCTGCAGCCTGAGCCAGCATGGGCAGTAGCTGAAGGGTGGTTAGTTACCAGTGCATTAGAAAGCAGCACTCACAGGACCTAAAGCACAAGGAAAACAGCCACCGCTTCCCACTCTTACCTCCTGAAGCTGTGCTGAAGCTCCAGAATGCTACACAGCAAAGAGCGGTGAAGCTGCAGGTCAAGTTCACTGCCATCTCCACCACTTCAGATGAGGACCCCGCCTGCAAAGAGGAGTGACAGCCCTGCTTCCTGCAGGGGAAGATGTGCCTCTGGGTGCTCTTATTGGCTGGGAGGAAAGAGGAAAACCCCCATAATCATCACAGCTCTGATGCAGACTTTGTCTCCTGCCGATGACCACGTACCCCAAAGCTCTGCCTTGGTGATAACAGCACCAGCCCTGCATCAGACAGGGACTTTGCACAACCTCTGAGGATCATGAAGCAAAAGCATGGGCAGATAGGTGTGATGTGGCACTGGGAAGTGTGTGTGTGTGTGAGGGCAGTACCAGTCATGTGCTTTAAGATTCGTGGGGAAATGTAATCCCTAAGAAATGGGCAATGAACCATGGGGATGTTGTTCTTGACTTGTATAGAATCATAGAGTAGCTTGGGTTGGAAGGGACCTTCGCAGGTCATTTGGTCCAGCACCCCTGCAATGAGCAGGGACATCTTCAAGTAGGTCAGGTATATGGGTGTCTGTGTGAGGAGAAGCCTGATGGAGAGGATGGGCCCACTCTCTTGCTCCCCCTGACATGGAAATGTGGGGTTTGGTTGAGGAAGACAAGGAAGGTTTAGGGGTACCTGCCCGAGGGGGCTGTGTGGAGCAGAGCCGGTTGCCAAGGGGTTTTGGTTTTGTTGGCAGAGATGAACACTCTGCCCCACATTTACAGCAGGAAAGGGCTGTGTTAGGCTCAGGGGAGGTGAGGTTATCTCTAGATGCTCCCCAGAGAGCAAGAGAAACACGGGCAGAGGGGTAGCTTAACCCTCTGTGGCTTCTAGGGTTTTCCAGCTCTGGGGTTGGATTCCCCAGGGTCAGTACTTGGTTTCCATGGAGGTTCTCTCCAGGCAGGGCTGTCCCATGGCAAGGAGCTTGCAAGTATGGGGAAAGGGCTTTGTTGTGAGACCTTGTGATGGACCTGAAATAACCAGTGTCCAGATGCAGGAGACTGGGAAATGAACTGATAAATCACTGCAGGGCTGAGAGTGGTGGGCCTCAGCCTGTGTATGTGTCTGTTTCAAGGTTGCTTTTTGTTGCTCCAACAGTAAGCTATGCTCCTTTCTGAGCAAAGACATCTTATTGCCTGAAGGAAAGTCCTAATGAGGGGTAGCATGGGTGATAACAAGAGGCTGGCTGAAAACCTTTTCCTTGTATGAAAGGGGTTAGGTAAATGCTGTGTTGAAATGTCCCACCGAGAAGGAGTGGGGCAAGCACAGTGAGTCACATTGATCATCAGTCCTATGTGCTTCTGAATCAGACTCCAGAGCCTCTGGGATGCATCCGTGGCTTGTCCCTCAGCTGTGGCACAGGTAGGGGCTGAATCAAGAATCTTCAGCCTTCCCTTTCTCCTCAAGAGCTGTGCTTTACAGTTCCTATCTCACTGAGCGTCTCAAGGGGGATATCTTCATAAGCTTGTAGTAGAGCCCTCCAGCATACAAGAAAAGGGGGTGGTTGGGACCCTTGTCACCAGATCCCAACACACTCCTGTGTGTTGCAAGTGCCGGTTTGTCACCTTGTCGCATGATGAACCAGAAAGCGTTCAGGCTTCCTGCAGAAACCTCCCTTTTATGCTGCATGTGTTCAGAGGGTAATAAATTCAGTCGTTTTTTGGTGTAAACATAATTCCTTAGTAATTGCCATCTATTTCTTTTTATTGGTAGCAGTATCTTAGCTTTGCAAATGCAAGATCTGGACTGTTAAGAATAGAATTATAGAATCACAGGATAGGTAGGGTTGGAAAGGACCTTAAGATCATCCAGTTCCAACCTCCCTGCCATGGGCAGGGACACCTCACACTAAACCGTGTCACCCAAGGCTCTGTCCAACCTGGCCTTGAACACTGCCAGGGATGGAGCATTCACAGCTTCCCTGGGCGACCCATTCCAGTGCCTCACCACCCTAACAGGAAAGAATTTCCTCCTTATATCCAATCTAAACTTCCCCTGTGTAAGTTTTAACCCGTTACTCCTTGTGCTATCACTACAGTCCCTAATAAAGAGTCCCTCCCCAGCATCCCTATAGGCCCCCTGTTCTGGCAGTGCCGTAGGAGAGGCTTGCTTAATAGAAGTACAAATGCATTTAGGAAGGTTTAAGTTAGCTGCAGAGAACTCTCTTTTTGCTGAACCTGGCAGAATTCATTCCCCAGTAAGGCTGTGAGGGGCTGGAGAACAGGATGAAACCCTTCTGTCTGTGAATGTTTAGGACATCTGGTTGATCCTTGTAAAGCACAGCTAGAATGAGACTTGGGTCCTGAATAGCCAAGCATAGTGGCTTGTCCCCAAGCCTAATTTGTGACCTTCCCCTTCTTTTCCAATGCTGCAGGAGCCTTTGCATAGGTGCTGATAGCTTTTGGGGCAGGCTCTTACTGATGCAGTTTCCCAAGTGCAATTGATCATGCACTGGGAACACCATTTATTATTGCCGTTCTTCCAACCCTTCCGTGGTTTCCTTTCTCATCCTTTGATCTATCCACACTGAGAGAAATACCCCCCCAAACCTCACTCTGACCCCCGTGCCCATGCAGCCCAGAGCATCCTTTCCGTAGTCCCACTGAGCAAGCTCCAGGAGAAACCCAGGGTAATTCTCCTCTCCATTTCACCAGCAGCTCATTAAGATGAGACAGGTACAACATCCCGGAATGAAAACGACAGGCACAAACCCAGGTCTTTAAATACGAGTGTTTGCTAAGATTCTGTGCTGACTTTTGATTACTGCTGCCTTTCACAGACTTCAGCTACAGGATCTGAATCTTCTTTATTGTACGTTCCCAGGATGATAAAACACGGTTATTGCTAGTGCTGTTTGGCTTCTATACCCTTAACACAAATGCCCGTTCCTTGGTTCCCGTATGCTACCAAAAGTAGTGAGATCCTAATTACCAGTCAGTAAAGTCCTTCCCATTTTTCATGGTAATAGACCTAAAAGAAGTTGTTTTTACTCACTAGTTACATAGTGCCTCTTAAGATGTCACTGGCTGGGGGCGTATTGAGCTCACTACAACTCAGGGAGGTATTTGTCAGTCACATCCCTTCACCCCCCATCTCTCTCATCAGTGGTTTCTACAGAGGGGCACTGAGGATCCATGGGTTCTTTGGGGCTGTGCCAAGGCATGGGGACACCAGCAGCAATTTAGCACTGGGACTCTGTGCAGGTGCTGTGTCTGTCCATGCACAATATTCCACGTGTGGTCTGTGCTGCTGGCAGGAACGCTTTTATTGCTGTGCCTGGCTGTGTTCAGGAAGCCGTGAAGTGTGGTACAATGTGAGAAATAGTCCTGTGCTGCTCGTAAACACTTAACCCTGCTTTTCAAGCACAGTACTTAATCAAGGGGTGGAGAATATGAAGCCTCTTCCACTCACTTGGTCCATAAATGAGCCCTTTAGCAATCGGGCACACAGAATTGCTGCCGTTTCCAATGGCTAAGAAAGTGTCTATAGCGATCGTTCTTAACTCCATCTCCTTAGGATGGTGGGTCTAAAAAGACATTGGAACAGAAGGGGACCACAACCCCCATGATGTGACTGATGCTGAAATGCTAAACCCAGACCTATTGCAGTGCATATTTGTAAAGCCTTGTCCTGAGCACCCTGCTATCACTAGTGGAGGGGATTTGGTGTGCCTCCATACTCGGGCCTTTCCTGGGTTTTATTCTTGCAAGATGCTTTCCTTTCTCTCCTGGGAGAGGGCATGGAAAAGGAAAGCAGCCTCCTTACTTGCACCTTGAGCGTCTCCAGCTTTCACATTACATGTGGAAGTCATGCTGGTAAGGTGAGGGTGACAAAGATCTGTTCATTATATGAACATGGAACAGGTTGGGATGGAAGGGACCTTAAAGCTCATCCAGTTCCAAACCCCTGCCACAGGCAGGGACATCTTCCACTAGAGAGGGTTGCTCCAAGCCCGTGTCCGACCTGGCCTTTCTAATGAATGTAGGCATTCCTGGGGTACATCAAGAGCTAGGATGCATGCAGACAGCACCCCAGAGGGGTGTGAAGGGGATGGACAGGAGATGTGCTGAGTGGGGCTGAGTATGGAGCCACGGCTACAAACACAGACCCCTGTGTGGACACGGTGTGTCTCTGTCCCTGCAGACCCTGAGCTCAGCAAGCACTGCTGGGTCACTGCGCTGCACTGATTGAGCTTAGCTGGGGACCTGCTGGGGGTGTTTGGGTTCACAGGGGTGCTGCTCTGCTGGGGCAGTCAGGATGGAGCATTGCCCTGTCAGAGCCTCGGGCTGTGCCTGGCTGCGTGAGCACCAGCGTCAGGGGAGCAGAAACTGCTTCCATTAGCAACTAAACGGTTCTGTGTCTGCAGATGACAGATGTGCTGCTCGTGAGACGTGAGGGCACGCTGACACAGCGCTAGCAAGTTAAACACAGGCACATTCGGCACAGGGAACACATGCTGTTTCACAGAGAGGGGCAAATCCTGTTTTCTTTACCTTCCAAAGAAGGGCTTTTGACAAGGGCCTGTAGGGACAGGACAAGGGGGAATGGCTTTAACCTGACAGAGGGGAGACTGAGATGAGACATTAGGAAGAAATTCTTCCCTGTGAGGGTGCTGAGGCGCTGGCACAGGGTGCCCAGAGAAGCTGTGGCTGCCCCATCCCTGGCAGTGTTCAAGGCCAGGTTGGACACAGGGACTTGGGGCAACCTGGTCTAGTGGAAGGTGTCCCTGTGTATAGCAGGGGCTTGGAACTGGATGAGCTTTAAGGTCCCTTCCAACCCAAACCGGTCTGGGATTCTGTGAAAGAGCAAACCTGTGATGGGACATTGCAGGAGGTTTCTGGGATAGTGTAGAGCTTGCTGTTGGGTGTTTGAAGGGGATCACAGGAATGCACAAAGCATTGCAGGGCGTTTAAGGGAAGGGGTAGAGGCAGGGAGAGGAGGGATCAGAACAAACTGGGGAGAAACAATCATGGGACAATGGGTAGGAGAGAGGATGAAAAGGTGATGCTGTGTGCAAGCAGGCTGGGGGCTTTCCTGGGTGAGCTCTGTCTGTACTTCAGCCTGGCCTGGCCTCATACTAACTCTGATTTCACGGTTCCATTTTCTTTCTCTCTCTATCTCAGTGCATGTGAATATGTGAATGTTGCACTGGGAGACTTCAGGTTCCACCAGGATGTGAAAGCCCAGGGCTGGACACAGGGTAAGTGAGGCTCATGGGCTTGGTATGGAGTATGGATGGAGGCAGTGTCTGGGGTTGGAGGTTTGTGCTGGTGAAGGGGAGAGTGTGAAACCATGTGTGTCCACTGGACCTGCTGCAGAACAGGGTGTCCAAGGGAGAGTCAGCAACGTGCTGTGGTTATGGGGCAAGGCAGCCAGCCCCGCTGATCAGAGGAACCAGATTAAACACGAACCATTTCCAGTTAAAGCTTTGACTGACTGGTAACTGGGAAGCGCAGTCTAGCAGCGTTATCTTCCAAACCTGTGTACTTATATTCATCTTCCACACATGGTGCGGAGCTGGTGTTTGATGGTACGTGTCTCAGGAAGGCAATGTTCTGCGTTACCAACACTGGAATAAGTGGCCCAGATTTGCTTTTTCTTGGAATGTAATTGTAAATGGATCTTGCTTCTAAAACACCGTGACATTGATTCCCTACAAAGTGACAGCCTTGTCTCATTACCTAGATCCAATTTGTTGGGTGATGGATTTTAATAGCGA